AAGCATATACAGGAACTCTAAGCCGCACCGAACGTGTCTGCCACATCGCGTCGAATCTCGCCGAGCATGCTTAGCTCATTTACCGCCAGGGGCGGATCGGAAATGGACCAATGATGACGTCATGCGCATGTCTTCTGGGCGATATTGGTCAAACAGAGCGGCTCTAGCTCTAGAAAATATCAACGGCCCCCGTCTCGGAATACCTCGGAGTTTGCTCCTATCCTTTATACTCTTCTCCCCCTTCCCTGCTGGACCCCTAGCTTCCATCTCCCCATGAGTGTCGACATTAAAATACGCTGCAGGCTACTCTTTTACTGTACATTTCCCCATCGTAACTCCCGAGTTTCCCCGCCCCCCGCCGTGATCCCAGTCTCCGCGCTCGAAGCTAAACCCTTTCCGAGGCGGCTGGCAACCCTGCGGCGTCATGCGAAACTCAAAGTGTCAGCTCCACGCGTGACCCATTCCTTATCGCCGCCAACCTCTCTTTTTTTTTATTATTATTATTATTATTTTTGTCACTGTGCCTCCCGGCTTGGCGCCGCGTTCGTAAATGTCGTTTCGCGCAGCCGCTCCGCCATTAAATTGTGAATTAACCCCGGCGAGAAGAGCCGAACTTGCAGTCTCCTGCTCCGACCTAATTGGCACCGACTCGTCCAACCTCGCCGTCTTCGCGCGGCGTGCTCCTTAACCCCTTTTTACGGCTCATAATTTGATAGTACCCCCCCCCCCCCCCCCCCCCCTCCCCGAATCTGCTTAAAGTATATGTGCAGTGACAGCCCGTTCTCAAAACCAAGAAACAACAAAAGACACTGAAAGGAAAATGCCTGGAAGTTGGAGCCTCGTTAAGCCTACCCTCAAATGACGAGCCTAACCAACACTGACGACTGTTACGAGCTTTATTGCGCATAAAAAGCCGTAATGATGACATACTGTCAGTCACTATAATATCTTCCAGCTTTACGACTAGGGGTCGCTTCAAACACTTGCGTTTGCTCACGACCGAGTTCTTGCGATTTCTTTTGTACGGGGAGAAAAAACCCAACCGCGCAATGATGATGACCTAGCCCTGGAACTGCATTTCATTTAAAGCGAAGGTTTTTGCGGTATTTGCGATATGACAAGCAGGCGCACTATGCTTCGTTTCAGCCCAAGTCCAGACAGCAGCTGACACAACGAGGTCATGGGGTCAATCAAGCAGGGTCTTTATTAGTTTAGCGATGATGGAACACGTGCAGAAACATGACGAACGATGGTATGATTTTGACGTTGTCTGATTGGTACCCTCAGCTTGTAGTGTCGGCTGCGTCTGGACCAAACGAAGTATATATATATATATATATATATATATATATATATATATATATATATATATATATATATATATATATATATATATATATATATATAGACGGAATGTTTTTTTTTAGCTACACCAAATATAAGAAAAGGGAACGTGAGATACAGTAATTTGAGCCCTGGGGAAGTGTTAGTGGCCATGGCGTCCTCTAGAAAAAAGGTGAAATTAGGTAATTAGTTAGCTAATTAACTAAAATGTTTTCATTAACTTTTTTTAATTTTTCACTTGAGGAAACATAATGTATTTAGAGGATTGACGATCGGCCACAGTATGGTCTGGCCGTGTCGTTAAATATGGATAAAAAAATTCCTAGTAGGCGTTACGAGGTCGAGAAATGTCACTTCGGTAAATGGTCAAACCGAAACTAAAGAGGAAAGAGCGCGGATAGAGTTATCGCTCCGCCCTTCCGGGCACGCGATTCGTCATTATCGCGGCCGGCTCGCCTAAGCAAGTGGAACCGGCCGTGATAATGACGAATCACATGCCCTTCTACCCTCTTTATTTCGGTCCGCTAATCGATACGCTATTACTCAAATACCAACCTAATAGCCTTTTTCCCAGCCCCAAAATTCATTTCATTGCCCATGTAAGTTGGTTGCGTTCTGCATATAAAAATTTCCGGTATGCATTATCTTTCGAATAGGGTAACTGCATTGCACTGAAACTAAAGCAAGAGTGCAAGCGGGCTGGTTCAATACTGACATGGAACCCCAGAACGGGGCAAAAAAGAGCTGGGCGGACCACGCAAAGCTCCGAGCACTTTGTGTCGTCCGTCCCGTATTCCCTCAGTTCCTGGATTATCATGCCAAACTTAATCTTATTTTGAAATGTGCTACTTGCAGCTCACCTATTTATAGCCTTTTCGTTTTCACCAACTTATTTCTCTACTCAAGTTTTTGAGAATATTGACAGTTTCTTTTGATCATTTCAGGAGAATGTAAAAAAAGTTGACATCTAATGCTGTTCTTTTTTTTTTTTTTTTTACGTATTGCATTGTTTGCGTTGATGCCCCGAAGGGAAATGCAGGGAACTTTGGAGACTGTTGCCGAGAAAATTGGGCTAAGAAGCTTAGAGCGGGAAAGCTCCTTACGGCGAGAACGATCTGTGATGCAGCAATGGGATCCGTCGTTCCTTGGAAGGGGTCAATTTCTTCTTTTTCGTTTGGTTCGCTTTCTTCTAGAAGGTTTACGACATCTTGAAAGCTAAGAGCAAAGCTGGTATGGGGTTCTCTGCTCTTAATGGCTATTTATGCTATTAGACCCCAGGGAACAGCCCATCTTAATCAAGGGCCTCTCTAAAGCGGTCCCTGAGCTTAACCTTGATTCTCTGTTAATTTAATTAGGCAGTTCTAATTAATGTTTCGCGGTAACTCGGGAAGACCCGTTGTTGATTTGAGTGTCGCTCGAAATCTTTGCCTAAGTGAAAGTGAAAGCAAGAGAACACGCCGTGTCGATACGCCGAGAGACAACTGATTTTTGTTGCGGATTTGTTGGAATTTTTTGTTCTGAGTAGTGTGGGCCGCGTCAAGGGGGCTTTAGTGTGCTTCGCGAGGTATTGAGTACGACAGGGAAGTCCTTCCGTTGTCCCGTTTCGAGCGCAAGCTTTATAATTTGATTTGACTTTGGCGTGTCGTGAGGCTTGAGCCTGCATGCGCGGCCAAAGCGATGTAGAATGGCAACGACAGCCTACTGGAAGCCGGGCACTCGAACGGATGCCCTAACGTGATTATTATGGCAGTTTTATGGTATGATGTAATGATAGAATACTACACGTTGCATTGTGCTGCCGGCGTGTTGCCGGCTTCTTTAATATTTAGATTTTATTTTTGCGCTGGTAACAAGAAGGTTCATTTTGGCAAAGATTGCTTTCATAATATGAAACCCCTGTTGTGAATCTTAATCACAGAATTCGATTCTTCATCGTTAGTGTAACAATATGACTAATCTAAAAGAAAAATCTCTGATGTTTGTTTTATTGAATTTTATTAGTTTTAGCAAGAAGTGGTACAAACCAGGGATGCACTTGAATTTAACTTCCAAGTGACATTTTTTATAAGGTTTGTGCACTTCTAGAGCGCGGTTCTTAGGCGGCCGTTTCCGGCTTTAGCGGCCTCGCCGTCGGCGTAACTGCGCGTTGCATTAGGGGACGTGACCTCACGTGTGACGTCACGAGGGTCACAAGTGACGTCATGTGTGACGTCATGAAGGTCACTCGTGAAAGTCCCGACCTACACAAAGCCTTCATGGGTGACGTCACGACGGCCACGAGTGACTTCATGAGGGGGGAGGGAGGGAGGGGGAGGGAGGAGGAGGGGGAAGAGGGTGAGAGAAGGAGGAGGGGCGTACCCTCTTCTCTGTACCCTCCCCTCTTCCTCCTCAAGAGCTGCGCTCTATTTCCGTATTACAGGGAATTGTAGACGTCTTTCATTGTTTTAATGCATTTTTTTTTTTCATTTTAATACTCGTGGATTTTGCAATTTGTTCGAATCGTTCACGTACCAGAATAAAATCCCTGCTTCTGCATTGTTCAGATTAAATTTTCGTTTCGAACGCAAAAGCGCGTTTTGACGCAGCTACTTTCATAATATAAAATCTCTGTGTGTGTTTAAATTACAAAATTTGATTTCTCATTTCATGTTGAAGTTACACTTTAAATATTCCAGAAGAAATTCGTTACAACGATTGGTTTTTGATTGTACTACATTTGTCTCAACACCAAGCGTTACAAAACCGGGATACACTTGAAATTTGCGCGCGTCTTAGACGAAAATCGTAGAGTAATTTTTTAATAACTTTTTTTGCATTTTAATGCCGGTGAAGCTCGTAGCTTTTCAGAATCGTTCACAAATGAAAAGAAAAGCAAGTTCATATGACTGTCAAACATATATAATGCGTATTAACTACTGTTCTTTTTTTTCCTGGCCCAAGTTCTTTTTCATTTTTTTTAGGGTCTTGAAGTTTGTTGAGTGGGATATAAATTTGTTACTTTTTTTTTGGCGAAAGGTACAGTCGGCCTTAAAAAAACTGATCACAATGGAGCGATGGCCATTCCGGCGATAAGGCGACACGGAAGTTACGATAGCGTAGGCACGCTGGGGCCGCGATTACCGATTGAGTCCACTCTTGGATGCACCGGGGACGTGGGCACACCGAAGCCGTTCCCAAATTGCGCTTTCCAAACGACACAGCTTCACTGCGTACATGTGTTCTGTTTTCGTCCCTCCTCGAGAGAAGTGTTTTTTAGCTGTGTTTTACGGTCATTTACGATTCATTGACGCTGAACTGTCAAGGCTGGCGAATGAGGGGAAATAAAATCCGTCGTTTCACGCACGACCCGTCACCTTCAAAAACAAGCAGCCTGTAAAAAAAATACTATGAGCGTTAACTTTTTTTAAGCACCCCTGCGATCCAAAAGTGGGAACGTCCCGGTCACTCTCGCTACCCGTGTTATAGCTGAACACAGCGCCGCCCTGCGCCTGGCGGTTTCCCCGCGCTGGCCACGCATCACTTGTGTTAATCTTTTTTAAGGCGGACTGTACCTCGCTTGTGGGTTTCGAAAAACGATGTTTGCGCTTGTTTTTTTCTCGATTTGAACGAGGAAACAAACAGTAATTCACCATATTTTACTGTCTCTTTGCTCGCAGCTTGGCTTCCCGCCCTGCTTCTTCCGCTGTGACTAACCCCTACTAGACGAATCACCCTCGAGCAGCATGAACTCTCAGGCGATCGCAATGTTCCTGGTGGTAGCGGTCCTCGCTGGTGCCGTAATGGCCGTGCCGTTCAACAATTATGGTGAGTGAGTCAGTGATCCTGGGACATTGCGTCTGCAACAGGTAAAAACGATAGAGAGACTATAGGCCGTTTTCGTGTGACGTTGCCATGCTGAAATATGACGTAGTTGGGTAAATAGTTTAAGTAAATAGTTTAAGCAGCACTACAATTTAAAAAAATGATTAGACAAAAAAAAATAAAAACTTTTGGCTCGAACCCCTTGAAGTCTAGCGCCTTCCCTTCAGCAAGTAAAGTCATTTTCTCCTTTGCCCCAACTCCAAGCATTGCTTTATTTTAGAAAAACTTGGGAGTCTAAATATTGATAGGAACGCGTACTATTGGATTGCTAACTATTTAAGCGATCGTAAACAATGTGTAGTTGTAAATGGGGTAAAGTCTCCACCAGTTGATGTAACTTCTGGAGTACCACAGGGCTCTGTGCTTGGGCCACCCGTTTTTTTTTTTTCTTTTTTTTTTAAATTTTTGTAAATGACATAACCAAGAGAATTGCCTCGCAAATAATGCTGTACGCTGAAGACTGCATTTGGTACATTGAAATTAATTCAGACTCCGATTTATCGGCTCTTCAAAGCGATTTCGACAGAATTTGTTTGTTGTGTTCAGGATAGAAAATGACTTTGAGCATCCCAAAGTGTTCTCATGTAGGGTTCACAAGAAAACGCAACGTTCTCCAGTCAACGCACACTTTGCACGGAGAAACTTTACTTGTTAAAAAAGAAGCTAAATATCTGGGGGTACTTTTTTTATGATTTGAGATGGCTTTCACATGTGAACTATGTAACAGGGAAAGCTAATAAAACGCTGGGGTTTCTAAGGAGAACCTTCTCGCGCGCTTTACCATCCCTCAAACAGACTCGCTTTTTCTCTTGTGTGAAGCCCATTCTCGAGTATGCTTGCATTGTATGGGATCCATTTCAACAGTATCTCATTGAAAAAGTTGAAAAAGAATTCAAAACCGTGCCGCTAGATTTGCGACAAATAACTACAACTTTCGTAGCACTGTCTTTTCAATAAAAAAATGATTTATAATGAAAATCGCTTGCTGTTATCGGTAAGTATTTGCGCCTAAAATTTTTTCACAGTATTTTTTGTGTTTTATTTAAAATTGAAAGATCACATTACCTGTTTGAGCCATTTTATGTATCGCGCAGAGTAGATCATAACCAAAAAGTTCGGGAGTACACGTCAAAGTCTGATTCGTTTCTTACCTCTTTCTTCCCACGAACGATAAAAGAATGAATCAGCTTGCCAAACGAGATTGTTGCCGTGTTCGTTTTTTTCGCAACTCTAGCATTGTCTCTGAGCAATATACTTGAGTGTAAATATATTATAAACGCATTTGTGTTTCTTTCCATGCAGACCAAGCTTTTTTTTATGTATGTTTATATGCGTGTGCGAGTTTCTATATTACTTTGCGTACTTATGTGTCTTGATGACCTATGGTGGTGTTAAAAATCGATTTTTAGGTATTGTGACTCCCCCTACTGTAATGCCCTTCATGGCGCTGTAAGAAATAAATAAATAAATAAATAAATAAATAAATAAAACTCGGCTACGTCAAAATTAAACATGGCGGCCGCCACAAGAAAACGCTGTATAGTCAGTGACAGGGTGAGAGATCAGAGGATACTTTTGTCATTTCTTTTCAATTTTGACATGCGAAGACTGAATACAAGACGAGGGCACTTTCGGAATTCGGCATTAAGACTAATAAAACCTCATAATCTAAACCTTGATACATGAAGGAAATAAAATGACGGACAAGAGGACACAAAATCTCTGTGCCGTCTTGTCCGCTATTTTATTTCCTTCGTGTCTTATGGTTTAGATTATGATGTTTCCTGACCTGTTTGACTGCACACTTTCGCTACTGATAACAAACCTGTTCTTTCAGTGTGTCGAGTTTCGGTGTCCTGTTTTTCGTTCTGTTTTATGGTCTGTTTTCATTTTTACTTTACTGCACTCTTGTATTTGACACAGTGCACCTTTACTGCACTCGACTTTGACACACTGCGCCTTTACTGCACCTTACTGCACCCTAGTATTTGAGACAGTAACAATCATATTAGGCTGGAATTTCGTCGGGCGACTGAGAAAAAAAAAACATACCGATTGATTTGTTGTTTGAACCCATGTTTCAAAACGTTTTTGTCATGACTTTTACAGAAATTTCCTCGAAAACGCTTTGCAAGTGGCAGAATATTGTCTAACTTTTAATTCATGAGCAGCTCTCATTCTAAATTATTGAACTGAACAATTAGCTGTTTATTAGGAATGAAGGCTCATAAAATCTTTTTGATCGATTATGAGAATCAATAAGTTTGTTTTGAGAACTGTTTCCATGAAAGGAATACCAGCCTGTTTAAAAAATAAACAGTTATTGAAAATTATGTGACTGTAAGTGCGCATTTTGCACCAGAGCGCTGCGGTATAGTTCTATTGTCATTCACTAAACTGTATCAATGTATCTGGTTTGCTTAAAACGTGTACTTACACTGACTTTTACTTTTGCTTTCAGACGACTCCTTTCTAGATGAGTACAAGGAGAAGCTTGAGAATTACCTCATGAGTGCTGACAAGTAAGATACTCCACCGCTCCACAATTCTCATTAATATATTTTAATGTCGTTTCTTCTAATTTCTTTTAGATATATACAGTGGTACTTAAAAAAAAAACTTCAAAAACTTGTTTTCAGTACCTTTTTGCGGTAGAGTGTTTTCTCTACAGTTACGTGCTTTCTCAGAACACCGGCAGACATTCTGAACTATCAAAACTAAAGTAATGAGCATAGTTGTAATGACTTCGTTTTGGGTTAAACATTTTGGGGTAACTTTCTCGGGGGGATAAGTATATAGGTTCAAATACCTTAGAGGCACGTGTTTAATAGCTTCAAATTTAAACTGTCAATGCTTTTTTTTTTGTACATCTAACTTCTTTTTCAAATTCTTGAACTGCTACGTCTTGTTAATATACAGTTTTTTTTAAAGCTTTACAGGTCTGTTTTTAAAAAAAAAGTTGTGAAAGCTACACTTATGCGGTTTGTGCAGATGAGTTATACGGTTAGGGGGACACTGTATAGAGGGCTAATCGTAACGATCATTTGGCTAATTAAGTAAAGCTTGTTAATTAAATTTTGAATTGATGAAAATAGACATATGGTTCCAATTAGAAACTTGCTGAGCGTCGTCGAAAACCACTAAATCAGTAATTTTCAGAAAGACTTAAGGCACATGAGAAACGTACTAGTGCACTAAAATTACCACTTGAGGACCATGTACAAGGCTAGCGGTTTTGGTAAAGCGCCCGTGCGATTTTTCCGTCTCTTATTAGATCCCCAGCCTTCTACCTGCTCTACCAGTGCTGATTTTAGCGCACTACTGCGCTTCTCACGCGCACAGAGTCTTTCTAAAAATTCCAAATTTAGGGGTTTCGGACGACCCTCACCACGTTTCTAAGCGGAACTATATGACTATTTTTAATAATTAAAAAGTGATTACCAAATTTTAATTAATTAGCCAACTGATCGTTACGATTCGCCCGACACACTATGTCCCCTGGCCGTATAACTCACCTGTACAAACCGCATAAATGCAGCCTTCACAGCTTTTTTAAACAAATGTGTAGAGCTTAAAAGTAAACACCCCGTATTGCCAATCTTAACTTAAATCGTTACTGTTAAGGAAAGTCTAGCGTAAGCATTGAAGTCTCTGCTAAAATAGTCATTAGTATGAGTCCCTTAACTCCTGTGCGTACAATGCTGCGAATATTTCGATCATAATTGCATATAAATTGCATAGACTATGAATCTTTCTTGTGTCGCAGCGAAAGGAACGTGAATGTTTATGTGGCGGAATGTATGATCTAAAAGGCAGAAAGAAGCCTTTTATTTGAACACTACCCGAAATTCCTCCTCCCCATCCCAATCCGAAAACCTTTGCAGGAGGTAAAAACGGTATATTCGGGTTGAAAAATAACTTCTGGTGCTTACTCACCAGAATAAGATCGGAGATTAATCTATACTGCCTGAAAACCCAGATATAAGTTTTTGGGGCAAATTATGTTTTTTGTCTGGAAATTTAGGGCCTAAAACGCTCGAATAAGCCAAAAAAGAGCCGAACTGTACTTTCTTTGTCCAAAGCCTAGGTATGTTGGCCCTAACTCATCAGACAAGTCCCATGCTGGACTTGTGCTGGTAGTTACGCTGTCATCTCGAATGTTTGGACCAAAATCGCCAAGAAAATGCCAGAGTTATATGGAGCATTCACACTGGGGGTTGAGCTGTGTTTGCAAGGCAATTACGGTTGCGGTTCGGAAGCGACACCGTTCAGACACACTGAGACGCGGTTGGCGGTGTCTCGGCGATCACGCGTGATGTTTCTGATCTTGCGTTTCGCAAACTTGTTTTACAGTCTAGTATCAAGTTTAACCAACGATCCAAAGCCTGTATTTAGCTGTCTTGTCGCAGAAGACTTCTCCACGTGCTGTTGGCCCTAGTTCGCACACATCCCACGTTCATCTAGACAGAGACATGAACCTGCGAAACCACGCCGGCGATTCCATTGAGCTCGACCACAGGCAAATGCCAGCTAGGCACTCCTTACTGAATCATAGCCTCCTCGTTGAATAGGGGAAAGTGACCCTCCCCCTCCCCTTTTTCTTTTTCTTTTCCAAGTGGGGATTCTTACTGCTTGAGTAGTTTACCTTGTTTTCGGTATAAGAAAGCAAGATTTTCCCCTCGTAATTCGCTTTTCATTTCCGGAGTAGTGAGTGGCACTGGTGGTGCGGGAAATATGTTCTTCAGGGTTAGCCGGTCGCGGTTTGGTAAGGGGCGGGCTCGTGTTTCGTCACAAGTCGATTGGGTCGGCTGGTTGTTTGACATTAAGCTCAAATAAAAGCCGTGTGGACTAGTGGTACGTACACTTTTTTTTTATCTTGGGTAAGTGACCTTTACTCCTTTTGGTGGTGGAATTGTCACGGGTAGCTAGCGCAGCAATCTTGGGCGACTCGCCAGCTCCGGGGTGATGTGTTGACCACGCAATTACGCGCACGACGTTTATGTCCACCTTTGCTCTCTAACGATATTTTGACTGCATCCAGAATCAGTTACACGGTCCTTTACTCTAAAATACCCTCTGAGCTCACTTTTCTGCTCAGCATGTGGGCAGCCAATCACTGCGGATAGCCTAAGAATCTCGGCGAATGACAGTGACCAGGACCTTTCACTCTCTCGCTGTCCTTGCGCACAGCGATGTTTCCACTTCTATACTCCTCTTTCGTCACACGCTGAAGATTAATAACATTGATACTAACATTGACTTTACTAACATTCATAGGCTACTCACGTGTTCTGCGGGGAAACTGAGCAAACAAATGAATGAGCGGTATTTACCAGCTTCCGGTTCGTTAGCACATATTACTCTTTAGTTGGAAGACGACGGTGATGTGATGCTGTGCGAGTAAGCAGGAGTTTGGAACTGCTCCGGTACTAAATTAGCCCAAGCGCAAGCATAGGATTTCTTTGTTTTGTTTAAGGCATAAGCAACGTTATTAGATTAGTTCCGTCGATCGTGGAACTCTCGCGGATGGGGGTACCCCCTTTTTCTTCCCGAGTTCTCCCGTCGTATGAAGCACCATCGAGCTCTGCTTTAATACTGTCTATTCCCTAGAGCGGTAATAATGATAAAAATATAATCATATTTTTATTCGACCCTGAAGGACTGCAGCTCCAAAGAAATGCCGTTGGCTCATAACTGAGGCCTGTGTTGCAGCACTAATACGAAATATACCTTTTTTTTAAACTAAAAAAAAAAAGAAAGAAGAAAGAAAGAAAAATAGAAAATTAGAAAACAATGTATATAATAAAAAGGAGGGGAAACAGGGGGAGTTGGGGGGGGGGGGGGAGGCGGCACTGCTAAAGGCAGCGTAAGGCGGCAAAATACCAAGTCCACCTTTGGGTATACTGCTCGTGAAAGCAGTGTCTATGGGTAGTTCAGTAACTGGGTTGATCTAGCGAGCTCAGGCAAAGGAATCAGGCGTTTAAAAAGATGGATGTTTGGTCAGACACCGTTTGCCCATTGGCAAGCAATTGTTTCAACTTACGGTGATTCGCAGAGCTCACTACGAGCCAATGTAACCAATGCGTTGCCTTGTGATTCTCACATGACTACGGATGGAGCCGACTCGCGGGCTGCGTATTCACGTGATATGTTCACAGCGCCGAATCGGTTACACTTTGTTTCACGATAAACCAGAGCGCACTCAAATACTAGGAGGCATGATAATAAAGACGCCCGAATGAAAAGAGAAAGATGGTGGGGAATTCACAGCGCTAGATGGGGTGGATCCGGTTACGTAGCAAAGAACAAGGAGCATCATGACTTTACGTTTTCGTCAACTATTGATTGACACCAGCGACTCGTAACCACTGATATCCATGACAATTGCTGGACCTGTCTTCCGCGCTCCGCGAGTGCGGCCACCGGACGGCCATCTTGCATGCAACGAAATTGCGTTTTTGAGAGCGTCACAGAGGCTGCCGCGGCAGCATGCTGAAGACACGTTTTCTACTCGTTCGTCGTCATTTTCCGAAGACGTTTTTTAAACCCCTGTGAAATGCTGTATGAGGGGGAGGGGGAATAGGAGGTCCCAGCTAAATAGAAGATTTCGGAGGGGGGGGGGGGGGGGGGGGGCATGCTCCCCCTTCCCCTGTCTTGGCTACGTGCCTGGCCAGAGGATAACCCCCCCCCCCCCCTTTCCCTTCCTTGCCATCTGTACTTGTTGTCACCTCAAGAACCGTACTTGAAAAGTCCGGCTTTTCTCAGAACATAACCAGTTTTTCCCTTTATTTAAAGAATTAAGATATATGTACGTGCAATGCAAATTAAATAGTTGATACCTTATCGAGCCGTGCACGTTTCAAATACAAAAAGCGTCGCTTCTTCCTCAGCCAACCAAGTCTTATAAAGAACTACTTCGAGCAGCGTATGAAGAATGCGTAAAACTTCATTTTTTTTCTGAGGTGTACACAAGTATAGACTTGGTCATCTTTATTGACTAAAGTAGCCCAACGAACGATATGGCATCAAAAACAAGCTTCTGCGGAAAGCTCTTGAGTTCTCATTTGAGTCTTGGTCTCGACGCTTTGCTTCAGGCGGAGCTGCATCAAGCGCAACGGCATCTGCGACGGCCGCCCCAACGACTGCTGCCACCAGTCGGCGTGCCGCTGCAACCTCTGGGGAACCAACTGCCGATGCATGAGGGCTGGTCTCTTCCAGTCGCTCGGCAAGAAGTGAACGACACCGACATCCTGTCGAGGGCTCGACCGTTTCGCTGTGATTGTTACGTCAATGTAGCCGAATTATGTTGTCGTTACTTCGTCGTGACATTGTTCCCAAAACAGCGGGCGGGCTTGAGTTGACCTTGCCGAAAGTCACCATGCATCTTCAATGGGGTGTGGGGTTTACGTTCAGGGGCCGAGCGCATGATGTCTCAGCTGTTGTTTGTTTGGTAAAATTAAATGACTGCGTGCAATAGCACCTAGATGTCTAATTAAATTTTTAGAAACGATCCTACTGTGCAGATTAAAAAAAAAGAGGCCAATAATCAGGCGTAAGTTTGACAAAGAGTCATATAGAGATGCTGCTGCCCGCAATATTGTCTTGTTTATCTTGGTATCCCGAGACATTATGTTAGCATTAACAAGACATCATTTGGTGAGAGCTCTTTAGACAATAAAACGGAGAAAGAATCGGTTTACCTTCTGGCGTCGACGCAGATATCGTATATTTGTGATTATATAAAAAACATTTGGTGTTCAGAAAACTGTTACCGGCTCTTGATATGGGACGAAGTTGCTACAGCAAAAGGCACTCCGCGTTACTGGGGAAGGATGCCTTGTTACTCAGGGCACATTGATTTTTCTGCATCGGCTTTCTCAAAGAGGTGCCTTCTTTCTGTAACGCCTGATGAAGAACTAAACATTTTTACCATTCAATTCAACATTACCTAACCATTTTGAGATGGGAAAAATGCTCATATCAGGAAACGACAAGTTAACGACCAAGCTAATGAGGTATATCATAAAGATTTAAGCCACGTGTAAATGCGTATATTATAATAACCCTAGATATTTATGCTGGTTCGAGATGATCTCAGGGAAGAGACACAATGTTTTTGTTTTGTCTAATACCTCTCTTGAGAACGTAACGCCCCCGAATTGTGCGATTCGTCTGCTTTGTCTCTTTGTAGGTGTTTGATGTTGACATGTCCAATGCCGTGAAAACACTACTGACAAAACCAAAACCCAACGTAAAAAAAAAAGCTCACTCGAGAACAAACCGGCGGGTCTTGTCAAAATGACGAAATTCGATTACGAGATACACAATATACACCGTTTCAACGATCGTGACATGTTAAACAAAAACTAGCACCCAGAAAGCCACATGGCTTTGAGACCTGATAATATAGCATCCCAAATAAAATTTACAAAAAAATAAAAACTGTCTGGGACAATCGCGACGTGACAGTCATTGCTATCGAGATTCCCGTTCACTCGTTGAAGCCTCAAACGCCTTTGAAAATGTGTTTCGAGGTCCCTGTCGTTAAGTACGAGGCCTGCACCAACAATGCAATTTGAATTTTCTCACGCCTAACCACTACCACCTATTAGACAAGGCCGGCGAGTGACGTCATCGTTAGGGAAAGTGTGGGGAGGGGGGGGGGAAGGGGGGGAGGGGTGGAAGGAGCTAAAGGGGGGGGGGAGGGGTGGAAGGAGCTAAAGACTTAGGCCTTCTCTTCTATGTGGTAGTGGCCCAACCCGACAACCTCGTCGTTCTGCTCCACTCGCGAACCCCGCACTCGCCCAGCAACACCAAACGTCGAAAGTCAATGTTACAAGTGAAACTGTCATTTGCAGATGTCTACGGAAGCAAGCGGCGAGTTTTCTGTTCGGCTAGCGTAGCAGCAGCCCGTGTTGTCTGGAATGTTTGAGCGTCAATTCCCCACGTGTTAGTTTCAACGAGCGTCAATGAAGCAGAAGCTATCCACGCTATCTTCGACAAGGACCACGGCGTTTATCTCTCGCTGAGATCGGTCTTCTCTAAGGGCTTCCTAATCGCGTTTTAATCTTCGATTCTCGAGTAACTGGAGTAACTCCCCTTTTCTCGAATGCGTGCCCAGGTGTCCAGCACTAGCACGCGTGCTGTCTCCATGCCTCAAAACAGTGCGCGCTAGCTATAACGCTTGTACTCCCTCGTCTGAAGGAGTAAAGATCGCTTAGCGGAAAAGAGCTAGTCCCCATTTTCTCCCGACAGTACTTGTCCCCGGATGTTGTACGAGTTACAGTGGCGTACGCATGTAGCACAAAAGAAACCGGCGTGAGTTTTTTTGCTTTATTTTTGCTGGCGCATTCCGATTGTTGTTCTTTTTTTTTCTTCCCTCCCCCATTTGCGGTCTTCGAAGATGTTTAATAAAGTATGCATATATTTTGGAGTGGTTAATGCTACACTGAATTCCGTTTGGACGTCTGCTTCGTAAAATACAAATCGCGCAAAGGACGAGAAAAGAAGGAAAAGGGCCTCAAGTCAACACTCCCGTGAGTATTCTGGTTTTTGGTTTTATACTAAAACGTGCATGCTTAACAATGACCCTACCTTAAATAAAAAAAAAATAGTTGAATTTACAGTTTTGTAGTACATGGTACTGCCAACCACAAGAAGGAGGAGGAGGAAAGAACATTTATTGTCCGACAGAATTGGCATTCTCCCTCCCCCCTCGGCACCAGGCCGGGGAGGCAGGAGGCACCGCTTTAGATGCTGGCCAGGAGGTCTTGTGTCCCGGCGGCCTCTTCAGCCAGTCGGACGAGGCGGAGCTGGAGCTCAGGGTCCGAACTGCGCAGCAGGGTCTCCTAGGATTCTTTAGAAGCGATATTTAGCGCCCTCCCAGGAGAATTTGAGCATTCCCAGATTATATGGTCGAGGGACCCTCTCAACCCGCAGTGTGTACACTCGTCTGATCTTATATCCGGGAACATATGGTTCACCAGGATTGGGTGTGGGTACGTGTATGTTTGAAGTCGTCGCCACGCGACTGCCTGCGTATTATTTAATGACGGGTCTGGTGGGGGTACCAGCCTACGTTCCAATCTCGAATGTTGAGTAATTTCCCCATATTTTACCATGCGTTCACCGCTCCCTTGCCAGAGGGGGTCCTCACCAGCCCGGTGGTATAAACCTCGAGCTAGCTCGTGAGCCGCCTCGTTGCCGGGGACGGAGGCATGTGCCGGTGTCCAGATCAACGTAATTTTCCTCGCAATTTGTCGCTGATCGAGAATCTTCGCCGCCGCAGGCGAGATTCTGCCTGCGCTAAAATTTTGGATGGCAGTTTTACTGTCGCTTATGATGAAATTTGCTTCCGTACTGACGCAAGCCAATGCTACCGCAACTTCCTCCGCCACTGCAGCAGAGCGCGTCCTTAAGGAGACTGCCGTAACGGCATTTCCGCGGCCATCGACTACCGCGGCTACCGCTCGTCCGTCGTGGCCACAAGCGGCGTCCACATACGCTACCTGCTCCGAGGGCAGCTCCCTATACCGGAGACTAATGGCCTCTGCTCTCTTCTCTCTTCTGATCTTATTATGCTCGGGATGCATATTCTTAGGTAAAGGGGGGATGGTTAGCCAGCTTCTGATTCCCTCCTTAATTTCTGCCTTCAGGATTGGGCCCCTGTGCGGATTGATTCCTACTTTAGCCAGGATAGTCCTGCCCGTTTTTGTGGCGCACAATCTCTCAATCTGAGATGTGCGCACCGCTTCCGCCAGTTCCACCCACGTGTTGTGCATCCCGAGCGCCAAAAGTCGCTCCGTGGATGTGCACGTAGGCAGGCCCAGCGCGCGCTTGACGGATCTACGTATTAATCCGTCAATTTTCATCTTTTCTGCCGACTTTAAGTCGAGATAAGGTGTAGAGTAGCTAACTCTGCTGAATATGAAAGCTTGTACCAGCCTCATTAAATTCTTTTCTTTTAATCCTCGCCCTTTGCTCGCAACCCGCCTGATGAGGCTCAGTGTTTGCATCACGTGGCTCTCCAGTCGCTTTAGAGTCTCTCCGTTGTGGCCGTGAGACTGGAGAACTACACTCTTAGAAAAAAGGGTACGGATAGTCCTCCCTTACGGGAGGAACGGTCTTGTAACCTATGTTCCTTTAGAAAGGGAGAAACCTTCGTCCCTGAAGCAGGTGAGCAAAGTTCCTCCGTCGCTTGCATCTCAATATGGCGGCCCCGAATCGAGCAAATCGAGCCCAATAAGGCTTAACGAGGACGCTACGTCTCTTGTACGGGACGAGAGCAGCAGCAAATGAAAGCGTAACACGATCTTTCCGAAAACTGTGTTTATTTCCGAAGCCAGATTCCCCCCACAGGTACAGAAACCTGCGTTTCGAAAGCAGTTACTCAGTCTTCTCGTCGACAGCACTGCGATGTTAAACGGAGACAACCGATACCGAGTTACTTCGTGCACTTTGCGTCTTACCTTTGGTGTTCCTCGAGTCACAATTCCTTCGTCAACCGCACATCACGGAGAAGGGCAAACTCACTCCGCGAAACCAAAAGCCGTTCTCGAAAGAACAAACTCGAAGCCGCTGTTTATCGCGTAGCGTGAAAGAAGGTTAAATCGCTAGCCACCAGATGGCGGGGTCAAGCAGAGTAATTGCAAGTAGCTAGGCTAGGTGGCGCTAGATACCGCCCAATTCATGTTCTACAAAAAATAATTTGCTTCTCTCAGGCCACTACTGCGCTTGAGGATCCTCTGCTATACACCCATTACACTTATTACAAGCATCAGGTGAACATACATTAAGCACATGCACTGCACACACAAACATCAATACAACAGAACACCACACTAACCCGTAACACTACACCCGTGTTCTACGTTTCCGTCTTTTATATTGGTCGTTTTGAACGTGCGGAACTTTTCGGTGACTCCCTAAGCAATAAAAAGCATTCCCAGCATGTAGATTTTTTCCCAGCAATGTCATACCTCTGAGAGTATTTTGAATGGCTCAGGGGATGAATCTCTTATTAAAAAGTAAACGCTCGATCACGCCGTAATTATTTGAAAGCAATAAATCAAACCGCTCCAATGCGGTTCGAAGCCATGAGTTTTGTTTCCCCGCACGGCGCGTCGTAGCCTGTATTTCTATTGTAGTGTTTGTTTTTCTATTTCTGCTGTTCGCGCAAAGCTGCAATTGCCGTCTTGAATTAATCTCTGTAGAGCGGATATTCATTCAGCTGGAAGTGATGCTTCACGGGCTGAGAAATCGCTTTTCGATCAACTTGAATGCAGTCAAAGCCGCGACTTGTGGCAGGTGTTAAGTGTACGGAGCTACGCCGTGGAGAGCCCGAAAACTTCTAGCGCTCATCCTAGCGTGCCACTTGGAGGGCAGTTTCTCCAGGAACCGTAGTATATATTTAAACAGCAAAATAAATGGTAGCTTTTTTTTTTCGATTTTACCTACTATTGTTTTTTAATGCTAAAATTCCACACTGTAAATATACGTACTTTCCGTCACAATTTCGTACTGTTGTCCTTGCCCCAGAGCGCAATCGCTCTCGGGGACAATACAACCAACAGTCACATTGGCCACTGTACGATAGGAGCTTATACTGCTCAGACCAGCGTTCCAACATGACTATCCGCACGTTGATCGATTGCACGTAATCCCTCAAGCGGTATTAAACTTTTTAATGTAAAGCAGAATGTCAAACTGCGACAACCCGCCCCCTCCGATCACGGCCCGACCAGCGGCATCAATGCCCGACCGTTTACGATCTCCTCTTGTTGTTACACCACTGATACGCGAACACACGGTCACATCGGCGATAATTCCAGTCTTCCGTTCACAACCCACAACACTGCCATCACGATGTTGCAGCTATGTTGCTGACACGCACAAACACAGAACCACGTTGAACGCCGGTTGCACTCGGCATCGGAAAACAGAACCAAACTCAGGGGGGAAGGCACCCAGGCAGCCGGCAGCAAAACCTGCCTTTCTTGGACACAGCGGACACAGTTCCTGCGGTTTCCATAACGTCGAAAACGTCGACACAGTTCCGCGTGCTTTCGCTACTGTAGTCTGTAGTGCTGCAGTGGCTGTAGCGGCTGTAGTTCCGTGCCGCGCGAGTCAAACAATCCGGAGACGGCCATCCCCCAGTGTACGTGGCACTGCTGGCACTGTTCCGGAACTTCGCTGTTTCTAGCGGCTTCGTTTGCTCGTTTGATAAAATTAGTGATAAAAACGTCAATGCAACCGAAATGTTCTGCACGTTTAGACTAGAAGACGGAATTACAGGCGGCCCTCGCTGCTGCTGACGCTCAATCAACTCAACAGCTATTTATTAAACAACGTGCGCGACCTGCTCGAAAAACGAAACCGAAAGACGATGAGTCGGGAGGGCGAAAGCTTTCACCCGTCTGC